AAAAATGCATAATGGAAAAACACTTCATGAAACATTTTCTGGTAGAGATAAGTTTTCCTCTTTGTTCAGTTGGCACTTTTATCCTTTGGGGCAAAAAAAGTACGGTACTCTGCTATGCTGCCTTCTTTTTGTCCTCACTTTCTTCCCTTCATTGGTTCCACCTCCAATTCATCCAATTTTCAGGAGGGAAAAACATGAAAAGTGAAACATGATGCTTCCCCAGTTTACCTGCTTAATTGTTGCAAGTTAGGCCAAAGTTAAACATTACAGGGAGTGGAGCTAACATAGAGGAACTGAGAATGTAATCCATTCTATGAACTACTTTTAGAGGATGTAACATTTATTAATTTGGAAACATTTTTAAAAATCCAGTGAAACCAAATTAAAAAGTTAATTTTCAATATTATCTGCCAAATGGATTGAATTGTAGATCAGGAGACCACAGGAGCTACAAAATGCAGGTTGAGAGGCCACAATCCCCATTTTGTAGGCCCTATGGTCTCCTGATCTACAATCAATTCAATTCAATTCAAACCAACCATTTTGAATTGGTTGGATCACTGCTGTGATCTGCCAGTGAATTACAAAGGCAAGCTGTTCTCAATAACAGGAGAGGCAGCAAATATTAACTTTTTTAAAATAACATCCTTCAACTTGCCTCAAACACTGAGAAAGTATGCAATTGCTGCCACTGACAGGTGAAACATTTGCCACATTGGGTTGGGAGCTTCCTGGTGTCCTCAGTTGACACAGGTGATGTCCCTAGCCACCCACAAGCTCCAGCTGGCAGAGATGGTGATGATAGCATTGTTGTCTTTCTATTCATGTTATGGAGCCATATAGGGTTTGATAGGATCACTGGATAAGTTGAAGGCCATTTTCAGAGAAGGGAAGCCACCAATGGAACCTCATGGAGCCATTTGCCCTTGGCATTACTATCATTTCCCCCATCTAGACTTTCAAAATGGCCAGAAATGGTGCCAAGGCAGAAAGAATAGAGGTGCTTGGTACTCCTTTTGGGTTTTCCTGAAATGGTCTAGGCTGTTGACTTTCCCTTCTCTACTCAGAGAAAAGGATGGTTCATTTTTTTGATAACAGTCAAGGTACAGTACTTACACCGACCTGTGGATAAATCGACCCTGGTTGTTTGGGTGGATTATTTTTACCAAATGTCTAGACATATATATGATTATATAGGAAATGTACATCCCACTGATTAAATATTTTCACTGTAGTTGAGGCTTAGAATGAGATTCAGGCCACAAAATCTCTGACTAATGTCAAAGGTTTATACAACCATGAAGGACACCCCCCCCCCCCCAATTTCCAGCTCCCTAACCAATGGTAATATGATTTATCTGATCCCAGCTTTGCAACAAACAATTACATAGTCAATTACTTCAGATATTTTTTTTCTAAATGGGGATCAGAAATGTAAACCCATCTATTATAGCCATAACACTGATTTCAGTATGACTGTGCCATATAGTGATATTTTTTTGCTGTCTTTTAACAGCAAAGGAATCCTCAAGGTTTCAAATTATCATACAAAGAATAAGCAATAAAGACTAACAAATAAAACCAAAACAAACTAAATGCAAATATTAAGAGTCACCTCCATTTGGTAACTGCTTTAGAAAAAAATGTTTCTGCAAAGTCACAGCAAACAAATACATGTTTAAAGCTCAAACAAATAGCTTTCAGGAAGAGCTCTCCAATTGCTCACATTGAGTGCTAGCACTTGTTTGTTTATTTAACTGTGCGTTGGGATACCAATGAACTTCCCAAGATGGTCTTAAAGACGCTTTCTGAAATAATACATTAACACCCTTGGAATACATAGCCTATGTCTCAGTTAAGAGTTCCTGTCTCCAAGAAACATTAAAAAAACTAAAATAGCACACATTACTACTATAAACTCATTGACTCCTCTAAATTAAAAAGAGGCAATTGGCAGAGCCCCAAAGAAGTGATGCTTCCTCAGAAATGGACTGGTTCTAGTAGAGGAACAGTGTGAGTCATAAAAAAGGGAAGGACTTCTACTGTCGTATCAAGTAACAGCCCGAAACACCTCCCCCTTCCCCCTCCCGGTAAACAAAGCAAAAACAGTTTTTAAGGCATAATAGCATCACTACTTTAACTGCTAGCAAAGCATAGAGGTCCCGTCCCCCCGCCCCCGGAAAAGAATCAAGAAAAAAATACAACATTAATCTGGACAATATTAACCCAAGATGGGTGAGATTGCAGGGATGTGTCACAAATTTCCACACCCAGATCATTGATAAAGTAGCAGTTTACAGACTTAAGTTTCAAAGCAAATATTGGTATTACGGCTTCCAAATTATCAATGGACATAAAAGATTTGATCGCTTGTGAAGGTAAACACAAATTTCTAATTACTAGAAATAGAAAGAAAGAACACAAATCAAATCTAGAATATGATCAGATCCAACATCAGGGAGCAATAGAACAACACATAAAGGACTATCTACACCAGTGTTTCCCAACCTCTGGTCCTCCAGGCATTTTGGACTTCAGCTCCCAGAATTCCTGATAGTTTGCCAAGCTATATGAAGCTTCTGGGTTGAAGCTGAAGTCCTAAACACCTGGAGGACCAAAGGTTCAGAACCACTGATTTACACTGATAACAGCCCAGCAAAAAACATTTATTGGTGTATTTTTAAAGCCCCGTTCCTAGGGTTACTTGAGACACTGATTCAGAAAACTGCATCGGATAGGCTGCATCTGCTTTAATTTCTCAGATATGGTGTGCTGAATGACTGGAAAGTCTGTATCACAAATCTGTGGATTTGGTATGAAACAATTATATTTTCATGTAGTACACTTTTTATTTTAATTTTCAGTATGTTTCCTTCATGCTTATAACTGATTCACTACATTAAAATATCCTTATTTTTTTGGGCGAGCAGAGGACCAGTTTTAAAGATGATTGGAGCACTTGCTTTCTTCTTCTCACCACAAGGCAGAAGAAGTTGGGATGCCATTGGAAAAACAAATAGCAAAACTCTAAGATGACTATTGGTTAAGAGCTCTATCCAGGCAAGACACAGTGATCCTAGTTTTCTCCAAGCCTAAAATTTTCTTAGCTGTAATAACTAAGAAGATTATTGGAGACTTTATGCCTTTGTTATAAAAGTAAACATTCAGCTTGTTCTGAGTAGACGTGTTTCAATACTGGTATTAAGGGGATTTTAGATATCTACATGAAGCAAATCCTTTGTATATTGTCAAAACAGAACAAAGCCAAAACAGAAAGGGTTAGGGAAAAAGAGGCCGCCATTAAAAAAATCCACAAACACAACGAAGATGTTGGGATTTTCAGAATGGTATTATAAAAAGCAAAGTTATTGGTGCAAGTGTCCGAGGGCCATTTCATCCTACACACTTACAGCACGATGACTCCACTTTAACCACCATGGTAACATCCTAAAAAATCCAGAGACTGGCAGCTGTGAAAGGTACCTTTAGCATCTTCTACCAGGAGCTCCCTTGGTGCTGCTAAAAAACTACAAACTCCAGGGCCACATAGGATGGATAACAAAACGCAAGTTGCAAACTGTTATCCACACAGAGCTATGTTAACATTAACTGTTTAAATCGGTTTAAACTGCATATAAATCACACAAAGAAAATACATAAAGTATAAGTCTAAGTGCTACTTGGTAATTTCCCTCTAGAGTTTACTTGAGGCTTGAGAGTTATAAATTCACTCTTCCAAATGATATATATTTCCTTTCTCGTTATGGAGGTGAGTATCTTCACTCTTTGGTTTGAACTCTCAAAACAAGGGGTAAGTATTGAGAAAATATTTACACAGTCCTTGAAGTGATGAATTAAACACTGGAATAGTTCTTAAGAAAGTAAACTGTAGTCCAAAATAATGTCCATATAGTTCAAAATACTATTTGACAAGGGTCCCCGGGTTGAGATTACACGCATGTTATTACTTACGTTATCTATGTTATGAAGCTGGCCCTACGGTTAGGTTTTCGATAGTGAGCAATACAATTACACAGAAGTGAGGATTTAAAGGCAGGGCTAATTGCAGACAGTCAGCTAAAGTGTAATTCCAAGCAGATAAGGTGGATAATGGGGCTTATTACAAAAAAAACAAAAAAACCACTAGGATCCAGTCTATCATTAAGACCAGTAGGAAACACTGGTACTATCATTGTATTGCTCACTATCGAAAACCTAACTGTAGGGCCAGCTTCGTACTGTAGATAACGTAAGTAATAACATGCGTGTAATCTATTTTATTGGAATGCATATGATTACTTTATCATTATTGAATGTTTTCTTTGGGTGCCTTTTTTGGCATATCTATTACGTTGTTTGTTATCACCCATTAGGGGATATATTGTGAATCACGCCCTCTTATGAAGAAGTTATAGAAATCCTGAAGAAGGGGAAGTCCCCCAAAACAAGGCATCTCAACCCGGGGACCCTTGTCAGATAGTATTTTGAGCTGGACAGCATTTTGAACTGTATGGACATTATTTTGGACTACAGTTTACTTTCTCAAGGACTAGTCCAGTGTTTAATTCATCACTTCAAGGACTGTGTAAATATTTTCTCAATACTTACCCCTTGTTTTGAGAGTTCAAACGAAAGAGTGATGATACTCACCTCCATAACGAGAAAGGGAATATATATCATTTGGAAGAGTGAATTTATAGCTCTCAAGCCTCGAGTAAACTCTAGAGGGAAATTACCAAGTAGCACTTACTTATACCTTGTGTATTTTCATTGTGTGATTTATATGAAGTTTAAACCACTTTACACAGTTAATGTTAACATAGCTCTGTGTGGATTAACAGTTTGCAACTTGCGTTTTGTTATTGGTTAGAGATATCTGTGTTTCTCTGATACCACATAGGATGGAACCAAAGTGGCATAATTGTATGGTGTGAAAGAGGGACTTGTTCCTGTGCAAGACTTAAAAGATGCTATATGTAAGGTGCTACATGTTGACTCACACTCTTTCATCATGCCTATGTCAGTGCAGCGCTTCAGCCGACAAGCCTGGCAGTGCCGCCGGTTATCTTTGGTAATTTTGCAGTCTCCATTGAATGGACATGTGAACATAGCTTTTCTTTTCATGCTCCTCCTGAAAACAAAACACAAAACAAACACAATTTTAAATGTTTTGGTTTTTTCACTGTCAAAAGACATACATTTAAAAAATCTGAAAAAAAGAGTCTGTTAAATATGCATACAAAATCAGCTGTACTCAAATCAGGCAACAGGTGGGTACTTACCAGACATAGTATAAATATCCCAAATTACTCTTCCATTTTTAAGAAATTTGGTTATTTTAAAAATCTGCTCTGTTATTATACATTGAAGACACTAACAATTTGTATGTCTTTTGTGGTTCTCTTTCTAAATATCACTTAATATTTTATGGACGGCTAGAGAAAAACAGTGTTGCTGAACAGTTTGTACTATAAACAGGAAAACATTAACCACAGTTAAAATGACTCAAATAGCCCTGTCTAAATCTGAAAAATTGTGCAAAAATAGGAAAGAAAAGGGCAAAAAACTAGAACTTGAGAGTAAGCAACCAAAAAACAAAGGCATTGAATTTACAAATACATGAACAGTTCTAACTACTTTATAAATTATTATTAATAATATAATAAAATAATAAACTTTATTTATACCCTGCTACCATCTCCCATAGGACCCGGGGCAGCTTACAAAATAGCACACACTGGTGCCATACAACACGTAAAATGCAATATATCAATATATAAAATCAGTAACATATATTTATGTAAAACCATACATATACAAATAACAAAAGCAACCTTTAAAAATAGAATCGGTAAAATGTGGCTATAACCATTGATCAAAAGACCTATACAATCGATTTAACAATCTAACTATATACCCATCATAATGTGATATAAAGATGATGAAAAGTAAAGATGAGGAAATATCAGTAATTCATGCCTGCCTCCAACGGATATGTCGAAAATTCCTATCCCAGAGTTGGAAGAGACCTTAAGGGCTATGCAGTCCAACCCACTGCCATGCAGGAACATGGAATCAAGGCACTCCTAACAGATGGCCATCCAGCCTCTTTTTAAAAACCTCCAGAAAAGAAGACCCCCATCACAGTGGTTCTCAACCTGTCGATCCCCAGGTGTTTTGGCCTACGACTCCCAGAAATCCCAACCAGTTTACCAGTTGTTAGGATTTCTGGGAGTTGAGAGCCAAGACATCTGGGGACCCACAGGTTGAGAAGCACTGCCCCATCACATTCCCAGTTGTCACCAAGTTCTTCCTAATCTATATATATAATAAAGAAGAGTGTTTGTATCGGACAGAATTGTGGAGGGAGGGCGGTGTATGTGGCAGCGTTCTGATTGGCTGCCGCTGTGGTGCTATTTGCATATGGTCTCTGATTGGCCAGCTTCAATAGGAGCCCCTGGTGGAGAAGAGGGTTCATGGCAGAAACGGGGCATGACAGAAGGAAATTTGCATATGGTCTCTGATTGGCCAGCCTCAAATCCAACATTCCGAGATGAGAAAGAGAGGAAAGGAAAGGCCGGGGCCTGGGTCAGAACACTACCAATACAGACCGAAATAGGCACACAGAGCCCCCATCACCCACTCTACATCCTACTGCAGTTTGGAGGACTATAAACCATGGATGATGGGATTTGCAGTACCACCACTCACATTCTGAGACCGCTGTTAACCTTATCCAATGACTGATCAGGACCAAACTTCGCACAGAGACCTCTCATGACCCACTTTACGTCCTGGTGTGGTTTGGCCGGGGATGGACCGTGGATTATGGGACTTGCAGTACCATTGCTCATTCTTCAGACCACTGCAACCCTCATCCAATTACCAATAAATACCAAACTTGGCACACTGAGTCTCCATGACGCACTCTACATCCAGGTGCAGTTTGAAGGAGGATGCACCATGGACGATGGGACTTGCAATACCTGCACTCCCTTCCTAAGACCATTATAACTGCCAACAATGATGGATCAGGACCACAATTTACACAGAGAGTCCGCATAACTCACTCTACATCCTGGTGCGGTTTGGAAGAATTTGACAATGGATGATGGGACTTGCAGTCACTTCACTCACTTCCTGAGACCACTGAGACCCTCGCCAATGACTCATCAAGACTAAACTTGGCACATGGAGCTTCAATGACCCACTCTACATCCTGGTGCAGTTTGGAGGATGACAGACCATGGATGATGGGACTTCAAGTACCTCCACTACCCAAGACTGCTGCAAAACTCATCTAATGACCAATCAAGACCAAACTTGGCACACAGACCATGACCCACTCTACATCCTAATACGGTTTGGAGTAGGGCATGCCATGGATGATGGGACTTGAAGTACCTCTACTCGCTTTCCGAGACTGCTGCAACCCTCAACAATGACTGAACAACACCAAACTTGGCACATCGACCTCTCATGACCCACTTTATGCCCTGGTGAGGTTTGACTGTGGATCGTGCATGGATTTTGGGACTTGCAGTACCTTCGCTCAATTCCTGAGACCACTGCAAAACATCATCCAATTTCCGATAAGGACCAAACTTGGCACACCGGGTCTCCATGATGCACTCTACATCCTGGTACGGTTTGGAGGATGATGCACCATGGACAATGGGACTTAGAGTACCTTCACTCAGTGAAACCACTGAGACCCTCATCCAATGACTGATGAAGACCAAACTTGGCACACAGAGCCCCCATGGCCAACTCAACATTCTGGTGAGGTTTGGGAGAGAACAGACTATGGATGATGGGACTTCAAGTACCTCCACTCACTTCCCAAGACTGGTGCAACCCTCATCTAATGACCAATCAAGACCAAACTTGGCACACAGAGCCCCCATGAGCGACTCTACATCCTGGTGCTGTTTGGAGGAGGACGGACAATGGATGATGGGACTTGCAGTACCTTCACTCACTTCCTGAAACCACAGTGACACTCATCCAAATACCAAGAAAGACCAAACTTGGCACAGAGAGCCCCCATGGCCAACTCGACATTCTGGTCATGTTTGAGGGAGACTATGGATTATGGGACTTGCAGTACCTTCACCCATGTTCTGAGACTGCTGTGATCCTCATCCAATGACTGATCAAGACCAAACTTAGCACACAGAGCCCCCATGACCCACTTTACGTCCTGCTGCAGTTTGAAAGGGGATGGACTTTGGGTGATGGGACTTGCAGTAACTTCACTCACTTACTGACACCACTGCCACCCTCATCTAATGACTGATAAAGACCAAACTTGGCACACAGAGCCCCCATGACCCACTCTATATCCTGCTGCTGTTTGTAGGAGGATGGGCCATGGATGATGGGACTTCAAGTACCTTCACTCACTTCCTGAAAATAATGCAGCCGTTATCCAAAGACCAATAAAGACCAACCTTGGCATACAGAACCGCCATTACCCACTTTCTCTAATAACCCGGGCAACGCCGGGTCCCCAAGCTAGTGTTTAAATAAAAACTCTTTTCCTTCTATTTGAATCTCTTGATCCGTGTCCTAGTTTCCAGAGGAAGAGAAAGCAAACTTTTCCATCCTCAATGTGATATGGTTTCAAGTATTTAAACATGGCTATCATGTCCCTTCTCAGCCTTCTTTTTTCCAGGCTAAACATACCTAGGCCCCTAAGCCGCCCCTCATAGGGCTTGGCTTCTAAACCTTAGACCAGTGGTTCTCAACCTGTGTCCCCCCAGGTGTTTTGGCATACAACTCCCAGAAATCCCAGCCAGTTTACCAGCTGTTAGGATTTCTGGGAGTTGAAGGTCAAAATATCTGGAGACCCACAGGTTGAGAACCACTGCCTTAGACCATTTTGGTCACCCTCCTATGGACACATTCCAGCTTGTAAATATCCTTCCTGAATGGTGGTGCTCAGAAATGGACCCAATATTTAACATGAGTTGACTTCCCTCAATCTTAACACTATACTCCTATTGATGCAGTTTAGAATCACAGATGTGTACAATATGTTACAAACTGAAGACAACGAGTTGTCGAAGGCTTTCATGGTCAGAATCACTGAGTTGCTGTCAGTTTTTTGGGCTGTATGGCAATGAAGACAGTGAATTTCTCACTTATTCTCCAAGCTGAACTGTGCAGACATGTCTCTTCTCTAAGACAATTTAGTAAACAAATGCACCCCATCAAAGTGCTTTGCACGCTTAGAAGTCAAACACTGCTTTAAGACACAGAAATATACCCCAAGAATTTATCTTCATCAATGAAACAAAGACTTTAGAGATTACCTCAGTGGTCTACCAGTCAAAAAAGAAAATCAAAGAACATCAAGGGGCAGTAGTTCTGGAATCAAAATTAGGAACATTCCCTCAGATCAAATAGAGAAACATTCTATAAGCTTGGAAGATGAAACAAGTGAGTCCTTGGCATCCACTAGGGTTTGGTCCCAGAACTCCCCATGGATATGAACATTAATGAATGCACAAGTCCAGTTATATATGACAGCATAATGAAATAATGTCCTTTATCTAAACTGGCAAAATCACGGTTGGCTTTTTAATTTTTTAAAAAAGGTATTTTTCATGGTTGAATCTGTGGATATAGAATGCATGGATATGGAGGACTAATCGTTATTTCCCTCCAGCGTGGCACAAAATCACTATATCTTAATCTTGCTTAATTCTTTTTTGTCTCATGTATAGTATAGTATAGTCTGGACCTCCTTGTGGCGCAGCGGGTTAAATTACGGAGCTGCTGAGCTTGCTGACTGAATCTAGGGAGCAGGATGAGCTCCCACTGTTAGATCCAGCTTGTGCCAACCTAGCAATTCAAAAACATGCAAATGTGAGTTGATCAATAGGTACCACTTCTGAGGGAAGGTAACGGTGCTTCATGCAGTCATGCTGGCCACATGACCTTGGAGGTGTCTACGGACAATGCTGGCTCTTCGGCTTAGAAATGGAGATTAGCACCACCTCCGAGAGTCGGACACACTAGACTTAGTGTCAGGGGAAACCTTTATCTTTAAAGAATAGTCTTAGTGTGAGGACCCTCAAGGCCTGCAGACCAGTCATCTGAGGAATACATTTCTCTAGCTTTTTA